TATTCGGTCCAAAAAATGGTGGTGGTGCCTCTTCACTTGGATGCTTGATGTGAGTATCCATAATGCCTGGTACCTTTATAATAAAGGTAATAATCCCATGAAACAGTTGGATTTTCGCAGAACTATTGTGTTTACATACCTTTCAAGATATGGTGTGAAAGCTAAAGGTCCAGGAAGACCTTCATCCCTCTTCAAAAATTGTGAAGATGTTAGATATGACCGTATCGACCACCTTTTGACGTACATTCCAAATAATAAGAGAAGACGATGCAGACTCGTGAATTGCAACTCTAGTGTACGCACCATGTGTTCAAAGTGTGATGTTGGCCTATGCATGGATTGTAATGTGGTGTTTCATCAGAAGTAACATTGACATTTAGTTTAATTTGAATTTCATTTTACTTTTATCCATTTGTAGTTGTACAAGTTTTGTTTAATTTTGCTAACACTTGCTCCTAGTGTTACATATATGTAACGTATCTTATTTTTGGAAGTAAAATCAATTTTGAAAAATTATTGATGGTTTTTGTATCAAATGGCCTGTCTAACAATAGATATAACATAAAAAATTACTATTTTGAAAAAAATCGAAATTCAGGTTATTAAGGGTTAATGTCATAGATGGTTTGGTGTATAAGAGCCAAAAGTTGATTGTTCCTAAAGATAGTAGAGCTCATATCTTGAATAAAATTCACTATAGTCATATGGGAATAAATAAATGTCTGGCTAAAGCTCGCCTTTCTTTTTTCTGGCCAGGCATGAATAAACAAATTCAAGATATAGTAACATCATGCCACTTGTGTCAGGCTTATCAAAAGAGTCAGATACCTGAGCCTATGACTTCTCACGGGTTTGATGAGATTCCGTTTAGCAAGGTTGCAGTGGATATTTTTCATTTGTTTAACGAGTCATATCTTCTTTTAGTTGACTACTACTCTAAATTTGTTGATGTCATGAATCTAAATAGGGATCTTTCAAGTTATAATGTAATTTGTAAATTAAAATCATGTTTTGGACGGTTTGGAATACCAATGAGTGTCATGTCAGATTCAGGCCCTGAATTTGCTAGTTTTGAGTTTGCTAGATTCGCTAAGCAATATGAATTTAATCACATCAGAAGCTAACCAAGATATCCACAAAGTAATGGTGCTGTGGAAAGGGCTATTAAAACTGTAAAATCAATATTAAGAAAAAGTATTCTGGACAATAAAGACCCCTATTTGGCTCTCTTGAATTATAGAAATACTCCTATTGATGGTCATAATACACCTGCTAACATTCTTATGTGTAGAAATCTTAGATCTTTATTGCCCTTGCCCAATGCTAAATTTAAATCTAAAATGTATCAGAAAAACAAATATTCAAATTTCATTAAAAAATCTCGAAACAATCAAAAGTTTTATTATGATAAAAAAGGTACCAGAGATTTTAGAAAATTAGACTGTGATGAAACTGTTATGATTCAATTAAAGCCTAAGGGCCAATGGCAGGAGGGTAAAATTAATAGAGTGTTACCCAACAAATCTTACCAGGTTGTCTTGATCAATGGAAGATCATATATTCGAAATCGTAGATTTATCAGACCATTTAAAAAGCATAATTTTGACAACCAGCAAAAACTTGCTGATGAAAGTATAAATAATTCATTTCAATACCCAAACTACATTGCAGTTCATGAAGATAATGCAGAAAATATTAATAACGAGAATATTGATCAAGACAATGGTGACGAATTTTTTCAACAACGTAATTCTGATTGTGAATCTGTTGAACCTCAAACGACTAATCCAAATAAATTTGGAATTTGCATGCCTAACTCAGAAGCTAGAGGACACCTAGCAAGTAGTGCAAAAGTTTCAGAAAATGACGTTCTAGAAAATAGTATTAATAGTAATAGTGATGTCTCAAATGTTTGTAAAAGTGATCATAGCATAGATAATAGTGACGAATCCTTTAAAATGTGTGAAGAAACTGTATTAAATGAAAATAATAGTTCTAGTTTATGTTCTAGTTCCGATCAGGACACTCAAAAGCCAACTTTGGTTCCAGAAAATTTTGTAAATAAATTTGGTAGGGTTATAAAACGACCATATAGATACTCAGATATCTATAAGTAACATTGTTCTGTAAATTAATTTCCTTCCTTCTTAAAAACTAATATTGAAATGAGCTGATTTATGTACCTCATTTCAAAACTCATTTTACTGCGTTTATTACACAATAAACAAAGTTTTATAGATTTTTTTTTGTCATAAAAAGAGAGGAGAAGATTGGCTGTAATTTGTGTTGTATGCATTGAAGGTTACATAGCGTCTCTGTAGTTCTAATCTTAGGTGCTAAAAGGCTGTACAAACAGTCGTATTTGTTTTGGGATTGATTTGAGTTGTTTGTAATTTTGAATTGTTACAGCATTGTATGTTCTGTTCATGGAACAGCAGTTAATGCAGCATTGTAAATGTTACTGCTATACTAGTGATAAAATGTGATTCTTGTCTCTGTGATATTAATTTATTAATTGTAATTTGTAAATTGTAATTAAGTCTTAATTTAAGAAAGGAGATGTAAAGTATGAACATGAACGCACACCTCGTCACATGACGTAGGTTAATGTCAATTGTCAACTTGCGGATTTACAATAAATCATATATTCAGTGTCCACTAGAACGTCGTTTAATTCACAACCTCCTCCTCCTAACCACACATAAGATAAGACAAAGGCCACTTGAATTATATTGAAAAAGTTGCGAGTTTCTATTTAAAATAAGAAAGTTAGTGCTTATATTTAGTACACATTGTTAGTTGAAGATTTGAAAACATTTTAGGTGATACCGGAAGGATTGAATATGGCTACAAACCAAATTTGAAATTTCTAATCTTCCTACAACCTCATGCAAAAACTTTTAAAGCACGGGTTACATAAAACATCCTGTATAGTATAGGGAATATTTGTAAGAATGAATTTGTACAAATTAAATATTGGAAACGTTGAGAAAAATACGCCCTATCACATTTGGATATTTTCTCGGAAAATTAATAATGGAGTGAAAAGAGTAAGAAAAGGAGTTCATCATACTAAAATTTCAAATCGATTCAGTGGAAAATGACAATGTGAGAAATTCTAGAAAATCTACTTTTAAATAAGAAATTGAACAAAACACATTCTGTCCCATTTTGATATTTTTTCAGAAAAATAGTAATGGGAAAATTTAAAAACTTTCAGGGTAAAAGAGGAAGATCATACTAAAATTTCAAATTAATTTATTGAAAAATGACAATGTGAGAAATTTTAGAATATTTGTTTTTAAATAAGAAATTGAGCAAAATACATTATCTCACATTTTTTTTGAAAATTAGTGAGAAGAAAATTTTAAAACTTTTGGGATAAAAAGAGGAAAAAAAAAGAGCTCATCATACTAAAATTTCAAATCGATTCAGTGGAAAATGACAATGTGAGAAATTCTAGAAAATTTACTTTTAAATAAAAAATTGGGCAAAATACACACTTTTACATTTTGATTTTTTTTTGGAAAACTAATTATGAGATAATTTTGAAACTTTTAGTTTGGAAAGAGGAAGAAAAGGAGCTCCAATATTAGAAATTTTAGAAAATTTATTTTTAAATACGAAATTGAGCAAAATATGCCATTTCACATTATGATTTTCTTTGTGAAAAACTAGTGATAGGAAAATTTTGAAACTTTTCGGGTGAAAAGAGGAAGAAAAGGATCGAGCTCATCATTCTAAAATTTTAAAGTGATTCATTGAAAAATGACAATGTGAGAAATTCTACAAAATCTGCTTTTAAATAGGAAATTGAGCAAAATACACCCACTTACATTTTGATATTTTTATAGAGAACGAATAATGATAAAATGTTGAAATTTTTGGGGTGAAAAGAGGAAGAAAATATTATGCTAAAATTTCAAAATGCTTCAATCAAAAACAACAAATATGGAAAAATCTACAAAAACTAAGGAATATTTTGGGTTTTATGTTTGAAAATTTCAAAACTTTCATAAAAAAAGTACGTATCTATTGAAAGAAAATATTTCTCAGTATAAATTGCAAAGTGAAGAAAAGTCTATTTAATTTTAAAACGATTTAGTGAGTTTCGAAAAATTTATCAAAAAAAAATCGCAAATTAAAAAGTTTTAAAAAAATTGGAACTTTCAATTTGTAAATTTTAGTCCACTCTTTCAAAAAATTATCAAAATCAAAATTGGATTTTATCAAAACTTTAATTTTAAAATTGCCCAAAATCTACTTACATCAAATAAAAATTTCACAAACATTTTTCAAAAAAACTCCAGCCCCCTGGTAAAGGTACTGCCTTTTTATTATTTATTTTTAAAACAGCACACGCTCTCACTTTTAAATCACACTATTGACCTGACTTTGACTCGGCAGCAAAAGTCGCAATCCGGTGAAGTAACAAGTAACCGAAGAAGAAGTGTATCAAGTTTTTCTTCCACGAAAAATTAAATCCTTAAAGTACCTCGGTGGTGGTTATAATACCAGAGGCTACTTTGAAAATCAAATCAGGCCTGCTGATGGTCTGGGGAAGTTGATTAATATTTATAAGAGCAGGCCTGCTTGGGCATAGGTAATTTGAATTTATGTTTTTTTTTTTTTTTTTGGTAAAAAAGGCCTTATGTAGTGATTTTGATTTAAAATCTAAATTAATTAATAATCTTGGAAAATTGCCAGTATCTATGTATTTGGCAGAAATCTCAGAAAATCAAAAAATAAACAAAATTGAAATACAACAATTAATATCAACAAAACTAATAATTTCTAATTGAATTTTGTTTATATTCAAAAACGTTTTAGAAGAAAACAAAAAAGCGGCAAAAAGAATAAAAGACAAGTAACAGAGAGAAAAATATTATAAAATATACAAAAAAAAGAGAAATAGAAAACATATAAATACATTTAATACTGTAATTATTATAATATTGAAAAAAATTGCTAAAAAATCATCCCTATGTATAATTCCTTACCTGAAAAAAGGAGAACATTTGAAATTCAAAATCACACTCTCACAATAATCATCGCCTTTCAGGTAACAAATGGCCTGAATGTTGATTTGTTGATAAGTTTTATATACCTGGATCATTTACATAGGATTCATATACAATATAGGGATAAAATCAACATAGATTGGAAATTTATACCTATTGAATAATATTGAATTTTCTCAGGATTTACAAAGTTGCCAGATTGAAGACTTTTTAATAAATATAAAGTATAATTGTGCTTTTAATTTCTAAAATCTTTTTCCATCAGAGAATTTGCTCACCAATTTGGCAACTAAGCTAATAAATGACTATTGAAAATTGATGGTGGTGCAGAAATTCTATTGTTTATTCTACAATAATTTATTTTTATATTAGTATAAGTAGGTACCTATATCATATTTCCATTGGATAAAAAAAAATTGTTTTAAATATAAAATTTTAATTTTAATATTGGTGAATTTTCGGGGATAATACCACGAGAGCTTCAAAATTACCGATAATTGTTCACGATTGCGTGTTTTCTATAATTTCACGAATCCGTAGAACGAGTGAAATTTGCAGAGAAAACACGCATGAATGAAAAATTATCTGGTTCATTTTTAAGCTCAAGTGGTATTTAGAGGATTATTTCACGTATGAGAGTGTAAAAAATATGGAAATAAATATGTATTAATCGATTTGAACATCTTAACAATCAATACAAATAAATGGTTGCTATCAGGAACCGTTTGTTTGTATCAAAAATTAGCAAGACAACCATGTATACAATAACATGGGAGAATTATATAAGTCAGAATAAGTCTGATGCTTCTTGGGAGGAATATAGGGGCTTACGCAATTTTACTACTTCCGCACTGAGGAATGAAAAGAAGGCGTATCTGCAGCACAAATTCAAGACGAATCCCAAAGAATTTTGGCGAACTTTAAAATATTTAAATATTAACAGCTCTGTAAGGGCCTTCCCGGGTGATATTGGCAGTCCTGATTCGTTTAATAATCACTTTATTGATAGTATTCCCGATGTAGATACAGGTAATAATAATTTCATTTTTACAAATTACGTTGACAAAGTCCATCCAAATATTCGGAATAGATTAAAATTTTCAGTAGTTACCTCTGATCATGTTAATAAAATAATCTTGCAATTAAAATCCAATACAAAGGGTTGTGACAACATTGACCTCAAAATGCTGCAATTTATAACTCCGTATTTGGCTGAGCAAATAGCACACATTATTAATTTTTCACTTGCAAGCTCCGCCTTTCCGTCAGTTTGGAAACGAGCAAATGTGATACCTGTACCTAAAGTTTCTAAGCCCAATCACGTTAGCCAGTTTCGGCCCATAAGTATTTTACCCGCTATTTCCAAAGTACTTAAAAAAATAGTACATGAACAGCTTCAAAATTTCTTCACTGAAAACAGCATTATACCATTCACTCAATCTGGATTTTGACCTTTGCACAGTACTACAACTGCTTTGCTCAAAGTTACTGATGATATTTTTGAAGCTTGTGATCGAGGTAAAAATACTGCTCTCGTACTATTGGATTATAGCAAAGCTTTCGATACACTTAATCATAATGTTCTTTGCATTAAGCTAAGATATTTTGGTCTGGATGATTCTATTGTAACTTTTTTAAATAGCTACTTATCTAGTAGGACACAGATGGTAATTGTTAATAACTGTGAATCTCAAGTAAGACAAATATCAAAAGGGGTGCCTCAGGGAAGTATTCTAGGGCCCTTGTTGTTCTCGTTGTACACATCTGACTTCTCTAGCTTCTTGAAATTTTGTCATTCCCATCAGTATGCTGATGATTTACAACTCTATTACTCCTTCTTTTCTCCAGATTATAAAACAGCGCAGGATCAGATTAATAAAGATCTTAATACTATATATGAAATATCGGAATTCCATAGTCTAATTCTTAATGGTTCTAAGTCTCAGATCACCGTATTTGGTAAGCATCGTAATTTTCTTACAAACCTCGATGATTTTGTCATTAAAATTAAGGATCAACGTTTAGTGCCTGCCAATAGCTGTAAAAATTTGGGAGTCTTGATGGACGCCCCACTCCGTTTCATATCACATGTAGCAAATCTTCTACAAACTTCATTTGCAAAGTTACGGACCTTGTATTTGCACCGGGATTATTTGTCTACTGACATTAAGCTTAGATTGTGTGATACGCTAATTCTTTCTTCCCTAACATATTGTATTGTACTGTACTGGCCTACCTTGCTCGTTAGGGATCGGGATAGTCTCCAAAAAATACAAAATGCGTGTCTGAGATTTTCGTATGGATTTCGTAAATATGATCATGTTACTCCACTTTATAGAGAATCTAAATGGCTCAATATGCAACAAAGATATTTTATGCAAGCAGCAACTTTAACCTACAAAATAATTGACTCGCAACTACCCATATACTTGTATGAAAAACTTAGCCGTAGGTCCGATATTAGCGCTAGAACAACCCGTCATTGTAATCTGTTCAATGTTCCAAAGTATGGCTCTGCCCTTTATCAGCGATCTTTCACTTATAATTCTGTAAAAATCTATAATTCCCTGCCTCCCTTAGTGAAGTCCTGCCCTTCTGTGATAAGTTTCAGGAGAAATGTGAGAAAGTTCATCACTAATTAAGATTGTAACATTTGTTACTAAATTTGAGTTGTAAATAAGATTCGTTTCTATGTTAAGTATACTATTTTTTATTTTATTTTTTCCTTTATTGAAATTATTTATTTAAATTATGCTTTGAAATTTAATTCATTTCATTATAATGTCGGACAATTTGTAAAAAATAAGGTGGTTAGATAGAGTAGCTTATAGCTAGATCTCGCCACCATTACCTCTTTTTGTATATTGTAACTTGTATTAATAAAGACATTTATTATTATTATTTATTATTATTATAATTATCGAATGTAATACCACAAGAGGTTTCAGGTTTACCGAAAAATACTTTTACCTGGCATGAAACGCGTTACGCAGCAACACCACGACTCCGAAGGAGGAGTGGTGTTGCTGGTAACGCGTTGAGTGTCAGGTAAAAGCATTGGGTAATCCTGAAACATCGAGTGGTATTCAAAAGGTTATACAACGAACTAAACTTTAATGCTTTCCACAAACAGTGGCGTATCAACCCAGCTCCGGGCCTGTGTGCCAAAATGTCTGCGGGCCCATCACAAGCCCCCCGCCGAAGGCTAATTTTTTTTTTGAGTACCGTAAAACGGGGTTACTTTAGAACGGCCAGGTGACTTTGTGACACATGGTAGCGCGCGCATCAAATCCTCAACAGTTCGCGCATTTCTCAACCGACGGCCTCGCGATTGCGTTCAAGACATTCCAAAAAGCGCGCGAACAAATCAGTATATCAATTAATGTTGTGGAAGACGGCGTCCAGCTGTGCGTGCGGAAAATATCAACAATAGATAATTTCAATATTTTACTTTTGCTGTAAACTTTAACCAACTAAGACTATCTCATGTAGCCAGGATTTGAGTTTAGGTAGTGTTCTTTGTAGTTTTGGCTATTCACTGATGAATTAACATTTTCATAATTTTAATCAACAAGCATGTGACGCCATATTTAATAAAATTTCAACAATTTTCGTGGTGAAATTGTGACACAATTTGTGGTACTAACAATGTTAGTACCATTTTATTTTTTTTAATTTTTTTTGAGTTACCTTTTTTTAGTTTATTTTTTAAGTTTCCTGAGTTCCAAGTTAGGTATTATGTTTTTTTACTTTTATATGTAACTTTTAGACAAATAAACCATTTAAGTTCAATGAAATTTGTTTTTGGGGGCACTTTGTGACTAGGGCTGGGCGATTATCAAAATAAATAATCGATTATCGATTATTAAAAATAATCGATTATTTTCGATTAATCGAAAATAATCGATTAATCGAAAATAATCGAGTAATCGAAAATAATCGATTAATCGAAAATAATCGATTAATCGAAAATAATCGAATAATCGATTATTCGATTATTTTTGATTATTCGCTTATTTCACAATAATCGATAGATTTTTTTTCTTGGGTTTCATAAAATAAAAAAAATTCACTTGCCCTTAACCGGCTTGTTTTGAAATAAACTCTCTGGTTACTTTGGAGTTTGAGGCCCGGTTTATTCATCTTCAAATAGACTTGCTGGTTGGTAACTATTTGCAAGATAAATTTACCCTTCCATAATTATTGTCTCGGTCAACCAAGTGCCGACCAATAACTGGCCGACCAATGGGATTACAGATTGCGTTATTATCCGCGAAATTGCATACCTATCAGTTTATCAGAAGGTGAATAAACCGGCCCTTAGATAGGTATGCAAACAAAAACAAAACATAAAATTATCTCAAAAAATAATAGGTTAATCGTAAATAATCGATTAATCGAAAATAATCGATTAATCGGAAATAATCGATTAATCGAAAATAATCGATTAATCGGAAATAATCGATTAATCGAAAATAATCGATTATCGATTATTCGAAAATAAAATAATCGACCAATCGATTAATCGATTATTTTGCCCACCCCTATTTGTGACACATCAGTTAGACGTGCTCACGACTGAAGGGGTGAATTTGAGACAAATCTAATAAAATTACTAATTAGTCCTATTTGTATCTAATGTGTGTCATATTCTCGACCTGCTAAACGACGTCTTTGGGCTTGCGTGCAAATTTTTAGTTGTCACAAAGTCCCCCCATGAATGGGGGTGAGATTGTGACAACTATTTTTGCAAACCACAGCTCTACTTCTAAAAATTTTCAAAATATCTCATTGTATTTTAAAAGCCAAATGATGTAAGTTTATCATTGACCTACCAGAAATTGATTATTTCTTTTTAGATTCAGAAAAATCAACCGAAACCGTAAAATTTGTCACAAAGTAACCTCGTTTTACGGTAACCTAAACTAACCCAAATTTCGACCCAAAAGCACCCCTAAAGCAAAAATTAGCACTCCTATTCGGCATCCCACCATAGCACTACCTAACACT